AAAAAACAACAACTAAAATGCTTAATGCGTAATTGCAAAATTATCAATTCTTGGGGAAGAACTATTAACTCGACATTCAAATGAATTTCCCTGCAAGCACAACTGTGCATTTTGAAGTAGTAACAGAGAGAAAGAAATGCAACATTTATTGCGATTTGTAGGAAACATTAGAAAGTTCTGTATCCACCACAGCCAATTGATTCCACCATCAAAAGCTGTTAAAGTTGTTCAAATCAAAAGGTATGATGCCAACAGAGGATTCGTAGTTATATATCTCTTTATTTTTTTCTATAAATTGATTACATAGGATAGGAGATTTTAATATTTTATCATTCCTTGAATAAATAATCTGAAATAATGAAACAAATGATTAATAATAAGATCATAAACTAATATTAAATTTGAACAGAAATACTGCAGAACATAATCATTAACAGTCAGGATACTACTTGGAAATATATAATTATTTATATACAAACTTGTAGCTCAAGTAAAAGACAATCTGAACTGGGAGCTGGCCTTGGTCAGCAGAGCTTCAACTTTATTATTATTCATTTTCTGATGCCTTAGCAAATTGAATGTCACTGTTGAAGGTTGGTGCTGTGCTGGAAAGTATGGTTGCTGAAAGTTTGAAGCTTTTTGCTGTTGCAAATGGACGTGCATGGTGTGTTCTAGAGTTCAATAGTTTAAGTCCTTTGTAAATTTAAGTTAATTTTTAATTTTGTGACTCAGCTTATTTTGTAATGAAGTTGTTAAACTGAGTGGTTTTAGCTAAGATTAAGAAAAAGTCTCTGATAGTTGTTGAAACAGTGAGCAAAAGTATGTTATATGCAGACTTTGTCTAATGAAAATCAATCCAGTTTTTCATTCCTTTTTCTCTTTCTTTGCACAACTGGCATTAACAAAACACTAAACATGGTATCAGAGCTGCATTAACCAACTATCATCTAAAAATTCACTCAAAAACTCATCCCAAATCACCAATCTTCCGCAAGAACAAAAACTTCCAAAAAACTGCAACCAGTTTTTACATGGCTACTCAATCGGCTTCCCTCTCACCTCCAGTGTGTCAATGGAGACCAGTATCACATCTGGGCTGTTAGAATGGAGAGCCTACCTAAGAGGGCAAGGGCTGTGGCTATATGTGGAAGAGGAGAAACAACCACCATAGCTTGGTCCAAACCCAACCTTGAATCAAATGAGGAGTATGAGGAAATGTCAAAAGCTCCAAGAGCCCTTTCTCACTACATTCTCCGAGTAACAGACCTTGTTTTTACAAGGATAATGCATGTGAAGCTGCAAAGGAAGTTGGGATAGATTGGAGAGAAGAGGTCATGGGAGTGATACAACCCGAAACATGCAAGTCATGAACCTGCACAGAGAGTTTGAAATGCCTGAGGGAATGCAAGAGTTAGAGAAAGTTAAAGAGTATGTAGATAGATCATGAGTGTGGTGAACAAAATCAGGGTTGTTGGGAGTTGAGATGGGTGACAAAGATGATGAGTTGAGAAAGTGTTGGTCAGCCTACCAGAAAGATTGAGTCCAAGATATCCTCCTTAGAGGATTCAAAAGATCTCTCCCAAATTAGTCTCATGAATTGGTTCATGCCTGCGGCCCAAGAACAAAGAAAGTTGATGAGGCAGGAGGACTCAAATGAAGGTGCTAGTTGGCTGTCAAAAGGGAGTAAACATGCAGGGATGTAATAGAAAATATGCTGGAGATAGAGAGGAAAAAGAGAAGGCTAGTGTTAGTGGGGAAGAGGAGAGTGGAGGAAGAAAATTATCCATCATGTTCCCAGCAAAAAGAAAGGACATCCAGACAGCAAGTGCTGGTCAGGCCTGGGATTAAAGAGCCTCAAGTCAAGGGACATGGTATATAGACCTACTCGAGATAGGAGAGAAGAGGACTTTGTGCACAGCTTGCCAGCTTGGCAAATCAGCAGGGCCTTATTCCCTTTAGATCAAGCCTGGAGAGCAAGTCACAAGCTGCAATTGATCTACGCGATGTGTGTGGTCCAATGAAGACTGGAATCTTTAAAGGAGCAGGTACTTTGTAACTTTTCATAGAGACTTCCAAGGGTGGCTTGGGTTTATTTCTTGAAGCAGAAAAAAAGAAGTGGCTGGCTATGTTCAACAATTTAAGTTGCTGGTGGAGAATGAAGCTGGAACCTTGATCAAAACAGTAAGGAGTGACAATGGAACGGAGTACACTTCAAATGAGTTCAAGACAATCTGAGCCTAGCTGGAATTCAACAGCAGTTCACAGTAGCATACACCCCTCAACAGAATGGTGTTTGTGAAAGAAGAAAACCGAACTATGGAAATGGCCAGGGTATGATGGTTGGAAAGAACCTCCCTAAAGTGTTCTGGGCGAGCGAAGTTGTTAATATAGCAGTTTCCTACTGAATAGGCTGCCACCAGGGTAGTCAAACATCAAACACCAATTGAGGCATGGAGTGGAGTCAAGCCAACAGTAGGGAACCTGAAAGAATTTGGAAGCATAGCCTATGTGATGATCCTAGCTAGCAAAAGGTCCAAACTGGATGACAAGACAGAAATTGGGATATTATAGGCTACAGCAGCAACTCTAAAGCTTATAGAGTTTATGTTCCTGAGTCCAAGAGGATTGTAATCACAAGGGACATAAAGGTTGATGAATGTGGAGTCTGGAACTGGGAAGAAAAAAGGGGATTGATGTGCAAGCTGAATCATGTCAAGAAGAGAGAATGAGGTTCTGATTCAAGAGGCAGATTTGATGAGGAAGAGAAAACATTCTGTTAGAGGAATTAGAACTCTGGCTGATGTGTATGAAAGGTGCAAGTGGCAGTGGTGGAACAAAGATGCTATTTTGATGTGCAAAATCTGAATATGGAGGGCTGCAATGCAGGAAGAACTGAGCATGATGACAAAAATCAAACCTGGAAATTAGTACCAAGACCTGAAAAAAGGAATTTATTAGGTGAAATGGATTTCAAACTGAAAATTCACCTTGTGGCTCAATTCTCAAGCACAAAGCAGGCTGGTGGTGAAGGGTTTTGCACAGCAACCAGGCATTGATTTTTCAGAAACTTTTGCCCCGGTTGCTAGGCAAGACACAATCAGGTGCTATTGGCACTTGCAGCTCAGTTCAACTGGAAAATTTCCAGTTGGATGTCAAGTCAAATTCCTAAATGGATGGATTTTAGAGGAGCTGGTATGTAGAGTAACCGAAGGCTAAAGGTTGAAGGAAAGGAGGAAGATGTGTACCTACTAAGAAGGCCTGTATGGCTTGAAGCAGGCCCCTAAAACCTGGTACAGCTGAATAAATGACATTTATGTAGCCTTAGATACACTAGAAGTCCTAATGAACACATCTTTACATTAGGAAAACTGAGAAGAGACGAGTGCTGTGGTTTCTCTATATGTGATGACTGGTGGTGATAGGGAGTAATCCTAATGAATTGGACCAGTTTAAGTGGATATGCAAGCTGAATTGAAATGACAGATTGGGATTGATGAAGTACTTCCTTGGCATGGAGAAAATTAGGCAGTTGGTGAGATTTTTTGTATGTCAACAAAGTTATGCAACGAGATCTCTTGAGGTTGGAATGGAGAATTGCAAACCAGTGAATACTCCACTGGTTCCCAACCTAAAATAAGCAAAACAGATGGTTGTAGAGACGGTAGATGAAGGGAAATACAGAAGTGTTAGTGGGAAGTTTGCATATTACATAGCCACCAGACCCTGATCTAATGTTCACTGCAAGCTACCTCTCAAGGTTTATGAGCAATCCAAGTGAATTGCACTAAAGCTGCCAAACGTGTGTGAGGTATGTGAAAGGAAACCAGCATGTTAGGCATCTAGTTTAGGAAATATGAAAGTTTGAGGTTGTGGGTACTTTAACAGTGGTTTGGGTGGATCCCTGGATGATGCTAGGAGCACATGGTTATGTGTTCTATCTGAATAAGGGTGCAATCAGTTGGCTGTCAAGGAAGTAGGAAACTGTGGCACAGTCTACTGTGAAGCTAAATACGTCTTGCCGCAGCAGCTGTGAACTAGGCTGTGTGGCTTAGGAAGATGGTAAATGATTTGCATCAAGTGCAAGGTGGTCCTACTTTGATTTTATGTGATAACTAGTCGGTGTTGCAATGGAAAGAATCTTATACTCCCGAGTAGAACTAAGCATATTAAGATAAGTATCATGCTGTTAGGGAAGCTGAACAGTGTGGAGAAGTAATTTAGTGCACTGCAGAGGGGAAGATCAAGTCGCTGACATTATGACAAAGGCATTGTGCAAATCCAAGTTGAAGCCTTAAGGCTAGAACTTGGTGTTTCTAACCAAAGCACCAAGGTGGAGTGTTAAAGGTTGGTGCTGTGCTGGAAGTTATGGTTGCTGAAAGTTTGAAGCTATTTGCTATTGTAGATGGACGTGCATGGTGCTGTTCTAGAGTCAGTAGTTTAAGTCTTTTGTAAATTTTGAATTTGTTGACTCAGCTTATTTTAATGAAGTTGTTAAACTTGAGTGGTTTAGCTAGATTAAGTAAAAGTCACTGATAGTTGTGAAACAGTAAGCAAAAGTATGTTATATGCAGACTTTGTCTAATGAAATTCAGTCCAGTTTTTCATCCTTTTTCTCTTTTCTTTGCACAACCGGCATTAACAAAAACAACAGTCATGCATAAACCAACAGGAAAAAAGCTTATTGAATTTGTGCCAAAAGCCTCTCTTATTTTCATAACCGGATAATCCGATTTGTAAAACCATGTTTTTTCAACCAAAGACAGCCCTACTTCGCTGCTAATTCTCTATCTCCACACCTATCAAATGGATCAGCCATTTATGGGTTACATGAACTTCCCCCTTTTCCTTAGCATGTTCCCTGCATGCTTAGAAAGCCTCAACCAGGGTTTGATGCATCCTTAAAAAAAAAGGAATGTCCATTATTATCCATGATTAATAAATTACCTGGTCGATCCTCCAAATAAAATGTTGAAGCTAGTTTTTAGATAATACTAACTTACCCAATTTGTAGAGAGTCATGTTCCCTGAAAAAGAAACCTGCATGAGGAAAATTAAAAGACAATTCGATCGAATGATTTGCCACGTAAAAGAGGGTAAGGGCTAGGTATTGGCATCTACTCCAGCACAATTGTACATCCACGCTTCTCCAGCCCTATCAAGTTTGAGTTTGCACACGAGTATTTCTGAGTTAACATTTCTAGTATTCCACGATCAAACGATACAAAGGTTTTAGAATCAATAAGTCCAACATAAAAATTTATAAGCAAATATAAAATTAACAGGCTCTTCGGTTTTATACCTCTGGAGTCGAGAGAAGTGGCAATCATATGGTAGCAAAGCCAAAAGCTTTGGCCAAGCATGCTGCAAAAGAGAAATCTCCCTCCCCCACCAGTAGTATTTGGTGAGCACTGCCTATAATGCTGTTATTTTCTCTCTCCTTCATTCATTACATTAAAACCTTCCATAGTTATTTGTTATGCCTGGGAAAGTAAGGGCTGACGTGGGAAAGTCACGTGAAGAGTGACCTGCTCCCATCAGAGCAACAAGCACATGTCAGACTGCCAAATGATATGGAGCTCACATGTGTCCCTTTCCCCTGCAATAAATCCTGCAAAATCAGCTTGGGAAGAGTGCAATGGGACATAAAGCCGGATTATATCCTGACAATCACACCAACCCATGGATTTAATGATGATTACACGCTTCAGTTTGATATAAAGAAGAAGACCCCTTCACTAAGGGGATTCAGCCATTCGCACTAAAAAACTCTCTCTCTCTCCCTGTAAACAACACATTACTTTTTCCAAATCTTTTGTAAGTCAGTTCGCTGTTGCGACCTGACCCAACACATCAATATCAATACAAATCAGTGGACGTAGGACTTGCTACCTTAGCATCTGAACCACTTTAAAAACTCTCTTTGCATTTATTTCGCTTTTATATTCATATCACGTGTGCTTCTTGACCAATCAACGCTGCGCACGTGACAATTAGTTGGTGCCAAAATCCAGCATCAACAGTTTGGCGCTAGAAGGAGGGCGGATTTAGTGTCTACCCTTCATCAGGAGAATCTTCGACCCATTGGTCCTACAGCTACAAATGGCCCGTCAATCTGAACCTGAGCAAGCTAACCAGCGTGCTGAAGGAGTCCCCTTAGCTAGAGGGACACACCTTCCAACATACTCCAGTTTCGAAAATGCTGCTGGGGATATCCTGGCAGCTCCGCCAACTCGACATGCTATCAGAAGCTACTTGGAGAGGTTCGACAATACTCTCCAGACGGTCAACTAGAGGCTGGACCGTTTGGACCAAGGCATTCATCTACGACAGTCGGGACGGTACAACCGTCAAAGACGCCTGTAGGTCACCCGAAAGGGCGGCAAAGGGTGATAGCCCGTGCCGCAAGCACTACAGCACGTAGGCGCAAGGGTAAGCAAGTGGCAAAAAAGTAAGCCTACGGGCTCCCAAGGACCAGCGAATACAAAAGGCGCACGGAGGAGCAGGGTGTGGCCAAAGCTGGACTCGGTGAAAAAGTGAATCTCGAGAGCTGTCCATGCCACGTCGCAGGCAAACCCAAGCGAAAAATGCTGGGCGCGAGATCTGATTCCTATCACCACCGTAGAACGATCCTGATCGTTATCATGCCGGTGGCCCCCACACCTCGCAAGGGCGGTTAGTACCACCGCGAGGGTGGTGAAAATACCCCGCACCAACCAGCCTTCACACGCCTTAGTCAGCTCGGGTGTCAAGTGCGACGGAAATGCCGGCCGAGGCGAGGAGGAATCGACCTCCGGACTTTCCTGAACCGCAACACGATAAGGCTGAGCTCGCACGGGTGATGAAAGCAATCCCGATGGCTCCGTACCACAAATGAGGAGCTATAGGTGACATGGCAGGGTAAGGGAGCAGCAAAATGAACAGGCGCAGGTCGCCTCTGCATCACCTTTTTCTCTCGAAGTGCTAGCTGCTCCACTTCTACCAGGTTCAGGATGCCAGACATGACAACCGTTTGATGGAAACTATGATTCGCAAGGATCATTTATATGAGAGTTCAATGAACTGATGGAGAGCTCCACCAGGTTTCGGACCTTGCAAAATGTCGTTGTTTGGCCGACGCTGACTTCTCACGCGAAGCGGGTGGTAAGGTCGCTCCCAGCGGGATCGATCAGTTCGTGGCCCAGATGAGCACGACGTTCCTGCGGCATTTTCAAGCCAATCGAAAGTTTTCAATGCCTTGAGCTACCTCAGCAAAATAAGGCAAGAAAGAGACGAATCCCTACAGTCTTACATTGACTGTTTCCAAGGGAACTCAACAAGGTGACCCACGCTCCAGAAGAGTCCATCCGAACACTTAAATGCTGGAGTTCGCCCGCAAAAACGACCTGTGAAAGAACTGCAGGCTGAGGACAAGTTTCCCTCACAGATTCTATAACCTGGCAGAAAAGTATCTCCGAATAAAGAATTCATTGGCAGGTGCTCGCTGTCGCGATCACGACACTTCCAGTAGCATGTCTGGTCGGGGGATAATAGGAGGATGATCGCAAAGAAGAAGACATTGACGATCAGCGGGAAGAAGGGAAGAAAAGAACCCCTTACGAGCAGAAAAAGTCCTATGCTCTGTTCCTCGTCGCAACCAGGACAGGACTCAATACACTCCGCTAAACGTGTCCATTTGTAATCCTCGACAAAATCGAGGAGGCCAGCCTGCTTGGTGAGCCCGAACCCATGAAAACCCCTGCTACGGCCAGAAACAACAAAAAATATTGTCGTTACCATCAGGATAATGGGATCTCATTGATGAATGCCGAGCTATAAAGCAGGCTATCGAAGAGCTCATCAAGAAGGGGCACTTCAAGGAGTACATTGATGACTCCCAAAGAAAACCAAGGGGGGAGCAAAAGAAAAAAGCGTCATGATCGCAGCGGGGTATAGCAGTGTGAACATAATTTTCGAAGGTCCCACCTTGCGGGAAACACGCGAGGAGCGCAGGAGGAAAGGTATGCCGCGAAGCGCATCACGACCCGATCAGGGTAATGAACACTTCGCAGCGACCTCAAAAAGCCAGAAAGGAAGGAGGAACGATCACCTTCTGCGAGGAGAGAGAGAGGCAGCTCGCTTGCACCAGAGCATCCTATGAGGATGCTCTGGTGATCACGCCCTGATAGGGTGTCATAATGTCTGCAGAATGCTTGTAGACAACGAAGCGCTGTGAACATCCTGTCAAGTCCATTTCGATAGAATGAACTAGTCGAGGCGACCTGAAGTAGCCCTCGATGCCTCTATACGGTTTTACAGGGGATCCACCTGATCCCCAACGGAACAATCCAGCTGCCAGTCACGCTCGGCGACCACAATTGAGGTGACTAGGGTTACCGAATTTTTGGTCGTGGACTGCCCATCGGCTAATGGAATCTTGGGGTGACCTCTACGAGAACTTCAGGGCAAGTCACTTATATTTATCATCTCAAGATGAAGTTCCCCACCCTCCACCGGGGATAGGGGAGGTGAGCGGATCGCAAAGCGCATGTCGCGAAATGCTATGTTAAAAGCGATCCAAATGGCCGACAAGGGAAAGGGCACTTCGCGATGTTGCTCACCAGGCTATGGCGATCAGCCGGATGCGAGCAACAGCCTGGTTCGGCAGAGGATAGATAGATCCCGCGAATTCAGGAAATCCCCCGAGCGGCCCAGTTGAGGATCTGTCCGAAGTTTCGGTTGATCCAAAGAGGCTGAGCCGAGTGCTAAAGATCGGAAGCTGTCTCAACCCTCAGCTCGCTTCCGAGCTGGTAGCTTCTGAAGGAGAACATTGACTCGTGTTCGCTTGGTCGCATGTAGATGGTCAGGATCAGCCCGGACATATTTTCCATTCACTGAACGTCAGCAGTGAAGCCAAGCCAGTTCGCCAAAAAAAAAGGGGCGATGGATCCGAAGCGGTACGCCACACTAAAATCAGAAGAGGGAGAACCTTCTTCCGAAATGGATCCATTCGCGAGGCTCTCTACCCGACCTGGGTTGCAACCCGCGGTCTGGTAAAGAAGCCAAAGGCAAGTGGCGGACCTGTGGTAGACTTCAGCGGACCTCAACAAGAGCTTGCCCGAAAGACAGCTTCCCCTGCCAAGAATTCGATCAGCTCGTTGATGCTACCTCGGGGCACGAGCTGTTAAGCTTCATGGATGCATACTCGGGGTACATTCAAATCCCGATGTTAGGCCAGATGAGGAGGCATACGACCTTCATTACAGACCGGGGGCTATACTTGTACAAAGTCATGCCTTTCGGCCTCAAGAATGCGGGGTGTGACCTATCAGAGGTTGGTCAACCGAATGTTCTCCGATCAGATCGGGGAGGACAATAGAGGTCTATGTGGACGACATGCTGGTCAAATCCCAGGTCGCCTCAGAACATATGCGCATCTCGCTGAGATTTTTGACATTACTCGACTCTACAGAATGAAGCTGAACCCTTCAAATGTTCATTCGGGGGTATCGTCAGGAAAGTTTCCGGATATATGGTCAATCAGCGGGGCAAGAGAATAAACCCCGAGAAGATTCAAGCTCTGCTCGATATGGAGAGCACCCGACCAGTAAAAAGCAGGTCATGAGTCTGAACAGGCGAATAGCGGCACTTAGTCACTTCACTATCAAGGCTAACAAACCGCTGTTTACCATTCTTCAGCGTCCTAAAGGTCAATAAGAAATTCAAGTGGACTATCGAATGGAGCAGGCATTCCAGGTTATAAAAAGAACATCTTGGGAAGCCACCTCTCCTCTCTAAGCCTTTTCCACAGGAGATCTTGCTCATCTACCGTCCGTGTCTCAGTCGCGGTCAGTGCAGCTTTAATACGGGGAAGAGGGGGAAAAGGCTCAGTGGCCAGTAGATATGCAAGTAAGCGTCTATCGGATGCCGAGCTGCGGTATCTAGAAATGGAGCGACTAGCTTTTGCTCTGCTGGTCGCGTCTAGAAAACTGTGACCTTACTTCCATGCCCATACGATCAATGTAATGACAAATTACCCCTCAGGTAGGTCCTCCAGAAATAGAGGCCTCGGGGTAAACT